CACCAGTGTGCGTGTTCTCTTAGGAGTTTGTATAGAAGCATGAGATAGGGCAGGTGGGACACAAGGGGAGGAGGAGTGACAGGAAAGTTTTAGTTGATTAAGAAAGGCATCCATAGAACAGCTCAAAGGGGCTAAGGCCTGAGGGGGCTCTAGGGGTTGCCCGAATTTGGGAGAGGGCCAATGGCAAAAGATTGGGCCAGGACAGTCTGAGTTCAAGCAAGTTTAGTGAGATGATCCTTGAGAATGCCATTAGGCCTCTCAACCTTATCCGAGGATTGGGGTCAGTGGGGGATGTGGAGCCTCCAAGTGCTGTTAAGGCCTTTGGAAACTAGTTAAACAATCCGAGAAGTGAAGGCTGGACCGTTGTCTGACTGGATGGAGGCAGGAAGTTCAAACCTAGGAATGATCTGCTCAGTGAGGATTGAGGCGACAGTGTCAGCAGTTTTCCTGGAGGTAGGGAAGGCTTCTATGCAACTGAAAAAGAGTGCTATCCCCAAATTACGAACAGTTAAATCCTGTGTCAAGGCCTGACCAAAGTGGTAGGGTCTGTCCCTGAAGCCTTAGGGTAGGCCTGTCCATGTCAGCTGTTGAAACCTAAAGAATGTAAGGTCTTCCCATGTGAAGGCAAAAAGATAATAAGAGTGAGGATGCAGAGGCACTGTAAAGACATTAGCTTTAAGATCCAGGACAGTAAAGTGAATGGTCAAAGGGGGATATGAGAAAGAAAAGCATGAGGGCTGGAAACCTAGTGGCTGGGAATAACTGCCTCATTAATTAGGCGGAGTTCCTGGACTAAGTGATAGGCTCCTGAGGGTTTGCATACCAGAAATATAGGAGTATACAGGGGGAGTCAGTAAGGATTGGAAGTCCCTGGGCCAGCAACCGGTGTATAATGGGCTTAAATCCCTCCCTATGGGTTTTGGAGATAGGAAATTGGGAACACAAGGAAGTTTAGTTTGGTGTTTCAGCTGGGTATGGACTGGCTTGTGGTGGGAGGCAATAACCAGCATGGAGATGTCTCAGACCTAGGGATCAGGGGGCAATGGCACAGTAAGTACTGTCAGGTCATTAGAGAGGGCAAGAGTTAAAGGCCAAAGGAGATGGGTGGTAGTATTCTTGGGGTGTAATTGGAGGGTGGCTCCTAATAATTGGAGAACATCTCTGCCTAGGAGAGGAACTGACAGGATGGAATGACCAGAATAGTGAGTGAATGGGTGTCCCTCCAGGGCACAGGCCAGCTTTACAGTTCTGTTTGGGGAGAAGGGTTTGTTATCAATCCCCATAACTGACACCTAGGAAGGAAACAGAGGCCTAGAATGGGCAGGCAAGACAGAATAGGTAGCCCCCGTGTCCACAAGGAAGGTTATGGACTTACCTGCCTGGAGCATTACCCTGGGCTCGGAGAGGGCTGAGGGGGTCTTTGAATCTGTGCTTCTTCAGTCTTCTGCAAACCTCAAAAGTTCAGGAGAGGGGACTGCCTGACTGGTCATACCCGCTGCGTAGAGGTGCCAAGGAAGAGCCAGCCAGCGGCAGTCAATCTTCCAATGTCCTGTCTGCTTACAGGTGGGGCATGGTCTGGAAGGAGGCTGTGGGTTTGGGCATTGGCGAGCCCAGTGACCTTTGCATCCATATTTGAGGCAAGCCTCTGGTGGAGAGGAATGCTGGTTCCCCTCTGAAACTTTTGCTGGAGATGTAGGCCTCAGGGCTGCTGTCAAGACCTCAGTTTGGGGTGTTATCCTCTTTTCTGCAATAGAGCCTGTTTTAAAAGCCATTTTCACCAGATCTCAGGGGTCTGATAGTCCTTCTCAGCTCATTTGAGCTTTTTCTAATATCATGAGCCCATTGAGTAATGAAATGGGTTGCTAACACTGTAGCCCTGATGGGAGACTCAAGATCTAGCTTAATGTATTTGATTAGGGCCTCTGTAAGGTGGTTGAGAAATAAGGATGGATTTTCATCAGGGTTCTGGGTAATGTCCTTCAGTTTATCAAAGTTAACTACCTTATTAGAAACTGCTTGCATGCAGTCCTAGTTAGGTTCAGTTATGGGACATGCACTCAGACTATCCATTCAGCACCAGCTACTTCCCTGACAGAACAAAGGAACTGTGAGTTATCTGATAAGAGGGATCAGTGAGGCACTGACAGGTTGTGGGGAAGGGCTTATCGGTAGAAGAAGTGAGCAGAGTGGGGGGAGGGGGAGAGGCTCTGAGAGATCTGGAGATCCCACCCATTGCAGCCAGGTGGGACCCATCCTGCCTGCCTGTTGGAACTGGGCGGCAAAGGGAGACTCGAGTCAGGGGCTCACGCAAAAGCTGCTGTGGCGCAATGAAGGTGAAGGACAGCAGCTCGCCCGCCGGCTGAGGTGGGATCCCGAGGCCTCTCCAAGCCCCCCGAGGGCACACTACCGGCCTGTTTGGAAGGTGGAGCACCAGCGCACGTGTCTGGTGGCCAGGCAGACTAGAAGTGCACAGACAGAGGGGGGGGGCAGCAGCAGACAGGAAGAAAAAGGAGGGGAGGGGGATGTCTCTGCCGAAGAGGAGGAGAAGTGCACAGGCAGGGCGAAGAGGGGAAGGTTGGGAACAGAGAGCAGAAAGCAGGACAGGGAGGCCTGGGAACTCTTTCTACCCTTTCAGGCGCTGGCAATAGTTAAAAAGTCCCGGAGGAAATTTGGATCTAATGAGCCTTCTGGAGGCCAATGATTGTCATTATCTAGCGGACATGTGGGCCAATCTTGGGTACAGAATCTGATAAGAATTTTGGGCTTGAGGTGGGGGGGGAAGGGGGGGAGAGAGTAGCCAAATTCTTAAGGAGACACTTGAGTGGTGAGGCTTCCAGTATAGGCGAGGAGGCACCCGTGGTTAAAGAGTGGAGGAAGGGACAGAAAAGGGAGAAAAAGAATTAACCCGGGCCGTAGAAGCTTCCTGGAAGCGTAGAGCAGATGGAAGATCACCTCGGCGTCCCCGAAGTGACCAGTCCACTGCGAGTAGGCACAGAGGGCACAGCTCGGTCGTCACCGACGAAGTGCAGTCTGTGTGACCCTGTAAGGTCCAGGCCGCAAGCCACCTGACATCAGGAAAATTTTTCCACCAGAACGAGAGAATCAAGGAAGGAAAGACAGAGCCCCAGCAGAAAGCAGCTCTGGGCCAGAAGTTCAGCTCCGGGCTGAACACAGCTCTGGCGGGGGAGGAAGAGACCAGGAAGCCTCTCTTGTGTAAACCCAGAAGCCTCACGCCCCAAAGGGAAGTGGGTCGCCAGAGGGTCCACTGCGACCAGTGAAGGAATTAGTGGAGTGCATTCCCTCCTCCCTACTGGGCATCAGGAGAGTGCCGGACAATCACAGTCCGTCTCCAGCTGCTAACCTGAAGGGAGTTGGTGAGCTGGGGAGGGGGAACCTTACCTAGACCCGATCAGTGTGAGTGCAGGGAGTCCGCGCCCAAAAAGACAGACAAGGGCGAAATGTGTCATTGGTGATGGCGGTGGCAGAGACGGGGCTCGGTTTGTCGAGCACACTGCCTCCCGGGTTTCGGCACCACTGGAAGACTGGAAGACGCCACACCACACGACACAGATCACCAAAGAGGTTTCCGCTTTATTACAAAAGGCTGTGTGTTTATATAGGTCTAAGGAGAGGTCGCAGGGCTGAGGTAGATAACAGGTTGCCTGATTATTGGCAAGCTCTTCCATAGGTCAGTTCCAGAGCCCAAGAAGTTAATTCTAATTAGGGCTAAGGCTTCCCACCAGCAGGGTTTGAACATTGGCGCCGGTGGGAACATTTCACGCTAGTGAAAGAAACAAAGAGGAGAAAGAGGGTCGTTAGACACCATGCTGGGGTTTTTCTCTGGGGTGCTGCTGCCTTTATATGTTTTCCCAACAATAATTCACAATAAAGAAACCACCTAGGGCTGGGGTTGTGGCTCAGCAATTGAGCGCTCACCTCGCATGTGTGAGACCTGGGTTGGATCCTCTCAACACCACATAAAAATAAATAAGAGAAATAAAGGTATTGTGTCCAACTACAACTAAAAAAATAAATATTAAAAAAAGAAACCACCTAAAAATGTGTGTCTCCCCCTTGCTTGCACGTTTTATAGTTGACATCTGAAGTTTTCATTTTACTATTTTGTTTTTTCTTTAAACTTGAACAAGAGTGTTCATAGCAGACTTGTTCCAATTGTCCCAACTGGCAACAACCCAAATGTCTAGCAACGAGAGAATGGATTAAAAAAATTGTGGATTTTCATTCTCAGCTATAAAAAGGAACAAAGTGGATGAATCTTCAAAACACTGGGTTTTTTTTTTACATTTTAGTTTTCGGCAGACACAACATCTTTGTTTGTATATAGTGCTGAGGATTGAACCCGGGCTGTACCCATGCCAGGGGAGCATGCTACCTCTTGAGCCACATCCTCAGCCCCTCCAAAACATTGTTATACAAAAAGAACCAGACACAGAGTAGCTTGTGTATGGTTTTGTTTATCTGAATTCTTGTCCTTGTATTTTGTTAATATCAAACAGCTCTGGATTTAAAATATGATTTAGGGCTGGGAATGTAGCTCAGCAGTAGAGCATGTGCTTAGCATGCTTGAGGTCCTGGGTTCAGAAACCAAGAACCAGGCAATTAAAAAAAAAAAAAACAACAAACAAGCAATTTAAAAAAAAAATTCAGGTCTGATTCAGACATGTACTTTTTATATCCTGGGCATGTCACCTAACCTCCTGAAGCCTCAATTTATTCAACTGTAAAACTGACACAATAATAAATAAGAATAGATGGTCAATTGTGAGATATTAACTGCATCTGATTAATCCCAGTAATCAGATGCAGTTAATATCTCCTTCCTACATAAAGATCACACTATGAGAATAAGGCTAGAAACACTAATAGGCCCCCATCAGGTCCTCTTTCAAATGAAAGACCATAAGGCTTACTGGTGGGTGCCAACATTCCAGTCAAATTCTTTTGTGGGGAGTGAGAATAGAAGGCAGGGCTAAACCCTGATGAAAGTGACAAAAAGGATTCAAATTCAAAGGCTAAGATAACAGTAGCTGGGAGTGGTGGCTCATGCCTATAATCCCAGCCAGCCTTGGAGAGTCTGGGGCAGGAGGATGGTGAGTTCAAACCAGCCTTTGCAAAAGCGAGGCCCTAAGCAACTCAATGAGACTCTAAATAAAATACAAAATAGGGCTGGGGATGTGGCTCAGTGGTCGAGTGCCCCTGAGTTCAATCCCTGGTACCAAAACAACAAAAAACTCCTTTTGTGTTTTCTGCAATTCTACCTTCTTTATAAGTTAAATAGCCATATGCATGTGTACCTCTTATTAGAGATATCTAATTTTTCTAAATTATTTAATGGGGTAGGCAGGTTTTTTAAAAAGAATGCAAAGACCACTCTACTAAACAAATTGTGGGTCTAGTCATTTTCACTTCTCAGCATTGTTGGGGGGATCAAATGGGATCTCACAGTAAAAGCAGCTCTAAGTTCTGACACAGGAAGCCTCAGGGAGCAACAGGAGTATATCTTTTCTCCTTTTGTGGTTATATTTTAAGTGCCATGGAGTACATGGAAACAACACCCACTTGGAGCAGGAACTGCCAGGGAAAGAGCCCAGAGGACGTGACATTTGGGTGGGTCGTGAGTGATGGTGAAATCTGTCATCTCTTTTTATGGCTGCAATCTGTCTGCTATCTCTGGCATGTTTCCCACCTGGATTTCATCTACATTGTATTTTATCTGATTTAGAAGGGCCCAGAGGGAAAACTCTAGGCCTTACCCCAACATGAGCATGCAGGGACCCCTTGTATCAGGTACCAAGTAGTGGTTGGTGATGGCTCCATATTTGCTAGACAGATGTATGTCACCAAGGGCAGGGTTGGGCCTTTTAAGAATTTCTGCCACTGTAGTGCTACAGGATTCCTGAGTTTCACCCACACATGGCTCTCTTCCCAAGCCCTAGCCAGCGGCCAACACGTACACCAATAAACTCACCCACTTGCCCAGCACCACCACCCCTGAAAGTGGCGAAATGCACACCGCACCCCGCAGGACAATCTTGTCTCTGGGAGACAGAGATAGGGTCTAGCATTTAGTAGACACTTGATAAGCATTGATAAGCATCTGGTGAATAATAAATGAATAACTATATTGGGATTAGGATATAGGAGTGAAAAACCAGCCTCTACCTCAGAGCAAAGCTTGTCCAAGGAAGGGACTTGACATTTGTCCTTGAAAAGACCCACAGAGCACTCCTAGGCACATTCCCACCCAGCTAAGTTGTTCATCTACAAGTAACAGGAGAGATCTGCTGC